CCGAGACAACAATCGCATCCGGAAGGTGGACAGGGAGGTCCTGGAGAAGCTGGAAAACCTCATCTTCCTCTACATGGAGAAGAACCAGCTCAAGGAGGTGCCTGCCTTCCTGCCACCCAACCTGGAGCAGCTGCGTCTGAGCAGGAACCAGATCTCCAAGATCCCTGCTGGGGTCTTCAACAAGCTGGAGAACCTGGTGCTCTTGGACCTGCATCACAACAAGCTAAGCGATGGGGTCTTCAACAAAAATACCTTCAAGGGACTCAAGAACCTCATGCAACTCAACCTCGCCCACAACATCCTGAGGAAAATGCCCCCCGGGGTGCCCAGTGCCATCCACCAGCTCTTCCTGGACAGGAACAACATTGAAGACATCCCCAGTGACTACTTCAAGGAGTTCCCCAACTTGGCATTCATCCGGCTCAACTACAACCAGATCTCTGACAAGGGGCTGCCCAAGAACTCCTTCAACCTCACCAACCTGCTGGTGTTGCACCTGGCCCACAACAAGCTCACCAATGTCCCTTTCATCAGCCCCAAGCTGGAGCACCTCTACCTGAATAACAACTCCATCGAAAGTGAGTGGCACTGGCTGGTTGGAAGGCTGCAGTGAGGTCTGGGGGGGAGCAGATGGGCTTGGAGATGGCAAGTGTTTTGCTGAAAAAGGGTGGTTTTCACCCAGAGGGATGTGAACGCTTCAAAGGGAGGTGCAGTGGTCAGATGAACTGGGGGCTCTTTGTTGGTGAACAAGGCCCGAAGGGGGATGGACGTGCACGTGGGGAAGAATGGCCTGAGGATTAGGGTGGTAGCGGAGGAGCAGAGCTAAATTCCCTTTGGTGCTGCAGGGCTTTGCTTGTTCGTTGTCATGGGCAGCTCTTCTTTGGGGCCACCTGCCATCTAAATAGTTACTTCCCCAGCAGCGCTTAGAAATAGGGATATTTAAAAAGGAGAGTCTGTGCACATATTTTAAGAACAGATGCCAAATACGCAGTCAAGATGGTTCAAAATAACCCAGCTTAGCTCTCGAGCTGAGCCTCACAGAGGAAGGAACAGGGAGAACAAGGCTGTGATGGAGGTTGCCTTGGCAAACCAACCGGGGTAGTTTCACACCATTCCAGGCAAAGCGCTGCAATTCCATGGGAGAGGTGCTGGCCTGTGAAATGCGTAAACATAGCTAGCACATCGGAGAAGAAGAGAGAGACTCATTCATGGTCACCTCAGATGTTTGTGCTATTAGAGGTCCAGGAACCTGCTGTCCTTGCTATCTGTGGTGAAGCAAGAATGCGGCTCTCCTGCCGGAAACCCTCCATGTCCCCTGGGGAAAGCATGCTGGGCTCCTCTATTTCTGGCTGTGATGGGGCATATGGGGGCTGCAGGACCCACCCAGGGCACTACTCGCCTGTGAAGCAGCTGCCAGGCAGAACGCTGGTCCCCACCAGTGGTGTGACACAAGCACTTCCACGCTCCGGGGTTTATCGTGCAGTGATGATGCATGGCTTTAGATGTAAGCATGCTCCACTGCCAAAGAGGGGGTGTAAAATGGCAGAGCAGCTTTGGTGGGCCGGCTCCTGCCCAGGCAGGGCACTGGACATGAGCCGGGAAGGGGCGACCAAGGAAGCTGCTCTTTGCAGGCAAGCACCAACAGTGTTGGGGGATGTGATGCCAAGGAGAAGGACAACACCCTCACAAAGCCACATCCCTGCTCTGAGGGGGTCACCAGAGTTGGTTCCCAGGGAATAGTGATGCAGTGATGAACGTCTGGTTCAAAACGCCAGTTAATCTGCGTTTTTATTTAAACCACACCAAACTGGAGCCAAGGGGGACTTTGGGGCAAAGCTGGTGACTGCTGCTGGCTTCACACGTGCCGGTAGCCAGGTCCTGCTAGGGCTTTCCATAGGAAGATGCCCATGTGGCTGTGCACATCACGTCCCAGCTCTTTTTTTGCCTGTTTTACCCAGCTTTTATAAAGTTTCAGTCCCTGGAGCTGGGTAACGACATAAGAATCCCCAGGTTTATTTTCTGTCATGCAGGTCCTGGGGTGGGGAGAAACACGTGGAAATCCAGAAGCGAGCAGTAAGCTGGTTATTGACGTTATCTTCAGCGTAGCGGTGCTGGAACAGGTTTCCTTGATGTTTTTTTTTGAAGGCTTAGGGCTGGCTCGGCAGGTTTTGCGTTTGAAATAATCCCTTTTCTCTCTCAAATGACATTGCAGCCCTCACCACGCTTTGGCTGTATGTGACCTACTTCATTTCCGAGCAAAAGCAAGATTTTCTTCTCGCTGGGGCTGCGCCGTCTTCTGGGAGAGGCCGGGGATGCTCCCCTTCGGTAGCAAAGCATCCCCATTTTAGGGTTCAACAGGCAGGCAGGGAGGGGGATCTCTAGCATCCCTCTCTCTCTTCCCCTTCCTCTAACCCGCATCCCGCTTTTCCTCTCCTCCCTGCAGAAATCAATGGGACGCAGATCTGCCCCACCTCGCTGATGTCCATCCAAGACTTCTCCCCCTCCGACCTGGACAGCGTGCCCCGGCTCCGGTACCTGCGGCTGGATGGGAACCTCCTGAAGCCCCCCATCCCCTTGGACCTGATGATGTGTTTCCGCCTCCTCCAGTCCGTGGTTTTCTAGCCCTGCCCGGCAGCGTGCTTCTCCCAGGACTTGGCTTTGCACAGAGACTCAACCCCGTTGGTGTTTGACGCGTGGGACCCTCTTTGCCTCCCTCTCCCCCTGCTCGCGCCCCACCTCCTCCGCTCTCGCCTTCCTCCCTTTCCTCCCCTGCAGCGGCCGTGGACCCGCGTGGCACGCGCATCCTTGGGGACCGCTGCCCAGCCCTGGAGCTGGCTCCGTCTCTCCCCTTCCACCCGGCAGAGTTTCGGGGGGTTGGGTTCCACCCCAGCCAAGAGCATCTCCGGAGGGAGCTGAGGAGGGAGCCCAGGGGTGACCTCGCTGCAGGACTCGGGTCAGATCAGTGCTCTGGGTGGCTGCACCCGGAGACCCCCTCAGCTGGGGACAAAACCCCCGTGATGGAGGTGGGGATGTCCCGGGCCGGGGTGATGCCAGCCGGGTGTATCCGGGGCGGGGGGGGGGGG